CAGGGAGGAAGACCAAATATGTTTTTAACATTACCACATCTATAAACACCCTTCCTGCACTCCACAGCAGACCAAAGTGGGGCACCAGAACTGCTTCCCACCATGCACCTACAGGCTGCATCTGACTTTTGTCCTCAGTGTTAAAGGGAAAGAGGACACCACCCTGCAACCCCAGATTTCAAAACTTTATACTTGTGAGCTTGATAGGGCGAGAGTGCAATCTGCAATTATTTTAAAGTTACTTTTTCTTCCATCCATCACCCATCTTTTCCTTGAATAAAGAAACACAGGTCTAATAAATGTATCATTTGTGTCTTGAGGCTAGCAATTACATAATAAGTACATCTAAACTATCAAACTTACTCAGTAATCAAGAATATTTTCTATTTTGAGACAAGGACAGCATCAAGCATGTTTAGGGGATTCTCTAGTTAGTAGATCATGTTTTTTTTTGTTTGATTTTTTTCTTGGTACTGGGGTTTAGACCCAGGGGCACTTAACCACTGTGTGACATCCCCAGTCCTTTTTATTTTTTCTTAAAGCTTCACTATGTTGCTGAGGCTGGCTTTGAACTTGAGATTTTCCTGCCTCAGCCTCCCAAGCTGCTGGGATGGCAGATGTGTGCTACTGTGCCCAGCCTGAATTCTTAATTGTTGCCAAACTCTCAGGCAAGTGCAGCCTGTGTGTTTTCAGAGTTTACCCCAAAATGCTCTGTTCTTTCTGTGGCACATGCTTGTGCTGCTGAAAGCTAACTCCTCAAAATAGAACTTAAGAAGGAAACTAATGATTCACTAAAGTAAATTGATGGTGTTGGTAATAATGCTTATCCCATATGTCTGAAAGAGAATTGGTAATGGATTAATAACATATCCAAGCAGATGAACTAATACCTAGTAGATTAGTTTGCTTTGGTCACAGTTACCTATRAATATGAGTTTCCAAATGAACATAAAGCCTTAACTTAGATTTTCATTGTTTTAGAATCATCACTACCTTAATGTTCAAACATCTATTTAAGTTGTCCTGATAAAGAAGAAATGCATGCTAGTTTATGGCTTTTTGTAAACAGATATGCAGTGATCTATGGCTTTTCTTCTGTTTGTGACGATGTTTGTTAATCCAGCCAATAGTTATTTACAAAAAGTGGAGCATGTGATTTTTCTTCATGTATAAGACCTGTTCCCCTGCAAACCTTAGTTACCTGAATTGTCCTAAGATCATTTGTAAAAACTGAAATACAATGATTAAAAGAAAGCTAGAATTAAAAACAAAAAAAACTATCCCATTCACAATAACCTTAAATAAAATACTTAGGAATAAATCTAACCAAATAGGTGAAAGAACTTTACAGCGAATATTATAAAGCACTGAAGAAAGAAATTGAAGAAGACCTTAGAAAAGACCTCCCACATTCTTGGATAATTAATTAATGTTATCAAAATGGCCATACTACCAAAAGTGTTATACAGATTCAATGCAATCCTGATCAAAATACTAATGACATTCTTCACAGAACTAGAAAAACAGTCCTAAAATTCATTTGGAAGAATAAAAAACCCAGAACAGCCAAACAGTTCTATGCTAAAAAAGCAATGCTGGAGGAATCACAATACCTGACTTCAAATTATACTACACAGGAATAGTAATAAAAACTATATGGCTGGTATAAAAATAGACACATAGATGAATGGAACAGAAGACACAGAGACAAACCCACACAGATACAGGAATCTGATCCTT